CTACGTGGCGCCAATTGGATATTCCAAGCGTGGCCAGGTCCTTCCTCACTTGGTCCTCCCTCTTCCCCTGCTTAACGCGGCGGGTACAGCGTCTAATACTTTCAAAGCTGGAGTGTTTTCGCCCATTCGGACAACATGACCTAACCAGCGTAGCCGCTGTCTTTTAATTCGCTGAACTATGTCAATGTCGTCATACATATATCTCATACAGCTCATCGTTCCATCGAATGCGATCGTGGCCAATGCGCAAAGGACCATAAATCTTTCGCAGAACTTTTCTCTCGAAAACTCGCAACGGCAACTTATCCATTGTTGAAATCGTATAAGCCTCTGCACCATATAGCAGGACGGGAGTTATGAGCGACTTATAGAGTTTGGTTTTTGTTCGTCGACTTTACYTTTCAATTGTCTACTCAGTCCGAAGTAGCACCTGTTGGCAAGAGTTATCCTGCGGTTGATTTCCAGGCTGACATTGTTGGTGGTGTTTACGCTGGTTCTAAGATAGACGAAATTATCTAAAACTTCAAAGCTAAGGATGTCAACAGTGACGTGAGTGCCGAGTCGCGAGTGCGACGACTGTTGCTTTGATGACAGGAGATATTTCGTCTTGCCCTCATTCACTGCCAGGCCCATTTGTGTTGCTTCCTTGTCCAGTCTGGAGAGAGCAGAACTAACGGCGCGGGTGTTGAGGTCGATGATACCAGTATCATCGGCATACGCCAGCAACTGTACACTCTTATAGAAGATGGTACCTTCTATATTTAGTTCTACAGCTCGAACTATTTTCTCCAGAAGCAGGTGGAAAAAGTAGCAAGATAAGGAATCGCCTTCTCTGAAACCTCGTTTGGTATCGAACGGCTCGGAGAGGTTCTTCCCGATTCTGACGGAGCTTTTGAGCTGCTCAACGTCAGCTTACACAGCCGTATAAGTTTTGCAGGGATACCAAATTCAGACATCGCAGCATAAGGGCAGCTCCTTTTCGTGCTGTCGAAAGCAGCTCTGAAATCGATGAAGAGGTGGTGTGTGTCGATTCTCCTTTCACGGGTCTTTTCCAAGATTTGGAGCATGGTGAATATCTGGTCGATTGTTGATTTGCTAAGTCGAAAGCCACACTGAAAAGGTCCGATCAGTATGTTGACGGTGGGCTTTAATCTGTCACAAAATACGCTCGATAGAACCTTATATGCGATATTGAGGAGGCTTATCCCACGGTAGTTATCGCATATTGTGGTGTCTCCATTTTTAAGGATTGGGCATAGTGCACTTAAATTCCAATTTTTGGGCATGCTTTCGTCCGACCATATTTTACAAACAAGCTGATGCATGCTCCTTATCAGTTCTCCGATGCCTTGTTTTAATAGCTCGGCCGGCAATCCATCGGCCCCCGGCGCTTTGTTTTCCTTCAGGCGGGTAATTGCTTTTCGAACTTCTTCCTGGTCGGGCAATGGAACGTCTGGTCCATCGCCGTCGATTTGGGATTCGGGTTCGCCTCCTCCTGGCGTTGTGCGTTCACGGCCATTCAGCAGGCTGGAGAAGTGTTCCCACCATAATTTAAGTATGCTCTGGTCCTTTGGTGGTTCTACAATAGTATGCTCCGGTCTTGAAATCTTCTGTAAGCCGCCGCATTTTTTCGTAGATGATGTGGTCGATCGTAACGTTGCGAGGTAGGCAGTATTTTTTTCTTTCCGCTGCGACACGGCACTCCTCGTCGTAACAGCTGATCTTTTGCCCCTTCCGAAAACCAATGGTTTCGGTTGCAGCTGTACGTAAGGAGTTTGAAACGCCCTCCCAAAGTTCCTTTATACCGAGTTGTTGACGAGTGCTCTCAGTGAGCAGGAGTGCAAGCCAAGTAGAAAACCGTCCATCGTTCTGTTGTGATTACAGCTTCTCGACGTCGAATCTTCTTTGTGTTTGTTGGCGTACATTTTTGCTGCTCAGAGACGGGTGCGAATCTTGGCTGCAACATTATAGTAGTCCGAGTCGATGTTAGGACCTCGGAGCGCACGCACATCTAAAACATTGGAGACGATCACAACATGATCGTTCTGGTTGGTAGTTTTTCGATCCGGAGGTAGCTTGATGAATCTTCTTATGCTGAAATCTAGTACTACAGATAACCATATTTCAGGCCTCGGCGAAGTCGATCAACCTCAACGCATTTGGGGATGTTCCTCATGGAGGCTGAATTTACCGACCGTAGTGCCATAGATACCTTCTGGGCCCACCCTGGCGTTAAAATCGCCAAGCACGATTTTAATATAGTGGCGGGGGCAGCCGCATAAGTGCGCTCCAAGCACTCATAAGGTATCTTTGGTCACATCGTCCTTCTCATCAGTCGGGGCGTGGACGCGAATTAGCGATATGTTGAAGAACCTCGCTTTGATGCGGATTGTGGCTAGACGTTCATTTACCGGTGTGCAATATAATAAGTAATTAATGGAACGTATTATAAAATTTTTCCTTGAATATACTTGAAATCAGAGGAGATTGAGTTTATGTGAATATGATTACTGAGATACATATAAATGTAAATTTATAGATAAAAAACTACAATAAAAACTCGGATACATATGGGTTCACCGTCATTTTTATTTTGCAATAAAAATTTCCTACCCAAAATAAATAAGTGATAACAGTACTCATAAAAAACTGTAAATCTTCCAATTTTTACTGAAATCGAAAAGGCTTAGCAAGGTTAAAGCTAATGAAGTCATTTCAATTATTCAAAAAATGAGTAAGTACTGCACTGGTATGTATTATATAGTAGATCTGCTTTAAATCAATTGTTTAAACCTATCATGCCCATATTTCTAATTAACGCGAACTTTTTGTGTATCAATTACAAATTTTTAATGTCAATTCCAGGTGGCTTACACAACGACAACAGCACTCAAATTAGTGTCGATATCTACTCTTAAGCAACTCGATTTTCGTTTCGAATCGTTTAACGTCTCCGTCGGCC